CTTTGTATATTTGTATCTTACTTTTGAATATATAGTTATATATTATTATTTTCTTCTCTATTCCCCCCTCTTCCCTCCCCCCTTTTTCTACATGACAGCGTATCATCTGGGTTCCATATCTTCTCCTTACTTTCTTTTCTGTATGTCTTTCTCTAATCATTTATAAAATCTTCCCCATGTCTTGAAGTACACCGATTCCTCTTTATCCTTTATTTTCAAGGTCAATCTGTTCATCTCCACACAATCTAGTTTTTTTTTAATTATCTCTTCTTAGATTGGTTCCTTATTTAATTTCCAATTTTGAGCAAATATAATTCTTGCTGCTGTAGTTACATGTATAACCAAATAGGTATTTTCTTATATTTCTCTGGAAGGATACCCAATAAAAATGTCTCTGGTCTGGACTCTTATCTTTTGTTGTAATATTTCCTCTAACCATGTTCCTATTTTGGTCCAATAGTTCCTTGCTTCTGCACATGTCTGCCACATATGATAGTAGGAACCTGTTGAGAATGAGAACCCAGATTATTGGGAGCAATATGCTGACTCTGTAAACCACTTAGGGAGGGCTGTAAAGCACTTAGAAGTATTATATAATTCTAAATGCTATTGCTATAGCTCTCGACATCTGCTCTGAACCTGCAACAAGGCAAACCTCCAACTGCAAGTGAATCTGAACAATTTTGAGCAAATCCCTCCATACAGCCCTACAAAAGTTTCCTTGGGGTCCCATAACCCAAGATGGCTCGTATCACCTTAAAAAGAGTTGTGGGGTAGCCATCTGAAGATGCAATAAGGATGGAGAAGTACTGCTCCAAGGTAGGCCATAATAGCATCTCTAACACATTCAGCCATATTCGGCTGTTTTTGTCTTCGTGAGCACCCTAGATATCTCTTCTGTTACATCTCTCCGTAAACCATGGGAGTGACAAGATGCATAGGAGTAATCCAATCCAAAGCCTCAACAGCCCTTTTGTTCCAAGCACTGTTAAGGCTTTGCAACACCATGGAGCAAACCAGCAGGAGCAATCCCAGCTCTATCTGGAACAGCAAATTAGCTGTTGTTTTTGGTAGATATATAATTTACCAGTTGTAGAGGAGAGAGTAAATTATCTGTGTAACCAAATCATGCATCTCTGGTCAGCTTCAGACACTCAATCAAAAGCAAAAGATAACTGTTCAAAGACGGAAATACACACAGGTCCAGAATATTTCTGCCTTCCAAGGCTTTAAACTTAGTAAAAATTGTTTTAAGTTTGATGATGCAAAGGAAACTAATAGCAGTTTGGAAAATGTAAAGCAAATAGCACCAACCTGACTTTGATATCTGAATTCTGATCAAGCTTGTCAATTGCTTTTTGAAAGATTCTTCCTACAGATTCTAGCAAGTATAGAAATGTTTCAATTAAAAAAATGTTGTACAACACTCTTTCCAGGTAAATTCCATCATGCTGGTAATTTAGGAAAGGGTAATATTAAATCCCCCCCAAAAAAGTCCAAATACAATGAGCTTATCTAAAACCTTATTGGGGGCAAAGATATATGAAATATTTGTGACTAAAAGTATCATTAAAATTCAGCAGCCAATCTGGTCCCGAATGGAAAAAACTAATTAATGTACATTCAGAATAAAGCTAATAAACCCCAAGAAGCTAGAAATAAGTCCTAGTAAAGTCCCAGCTCCCCAAGACTCTCTTCATGGGCATACATGATTTCTCTTTCCAAATAAATCTTTTATTAAAAATAAATCCTTGTGTTTAGGCAATTATTCTGGGTCAAACGGTACATTAAAAGTTAAAATTGGAAGGCTTAAAACACTTGGGTCACTATCTTTTTGCTGAATATTACATGAGAAACCTGAATTTGATGTCTGCATCAGTGCCACCAAATGTCATCAGCTGCATTTTTATTTCTCCTAGTTAAGTTGTTTCTAAAATACCTCTATGCAACAGAAAATGCTTAAAAACAGAAGGCCCATGCATGGATTGTTACAGCAGCTTGTACTATGGATACAAATTATAATTGCATTTCATGTGCACCTCTACAATTTCCTTTAAAGGGTCAGCAATAGCATAATGCAAAATGGTGAAAAGTATAGTGCTCTAAGCAATTTTTCTTAAAATGTTCAATTTCAGTTTAAATATTTATGCATTTAAAATAGTATAAGATGGGAATCTTCCTGGATATATTTTGCATAATATGGGATTTCTGTCAGGAATTTGAAGTTGGAGATATGAGGGTGGCACAAACCACTGTCAAGATTTCAGCAGGGTGGAGGTGAACCATGGAAAAAGAAGGAAAGATGCATTTATGGGTTTCATAACATAAGTAATATGAGAACATGTAAATTCTTTGAACCACAGTATTCTCTTTTACATGTGTAAATGCAGATGCTTACAATGTGCAAATTTGTGACATTGTGTGGGAAGCTTGTTCAATTGCATGTTCTATATAGGTGCCAGGAAAAAAATATGTTGTCATGGTAATTGTTTCTCTTGCTGAATATTAAATAAATGAAAAAGCAAGGCACTTTATATTAAAATAATATGTCAACCTGATTCAACCAAAATTGCTTAGGACATGAAGCCAAAGTCACTCACTGGACTTTTGAGCTGCTGGAACTTCAAGGGTTGGTCTTTCTCCTTCCTTTTTGCCATTAACACCAGCAGCAGCCCGCTGGTTCATTTGACCAGCAATCTGGGAAGACCAGATCATACTTATGGCAATGCCAAAGCAATGATCTAGGAGAACTAAAAGCCTCCTGGCTTCTTCCTTCTGCCCAAGGTCCCCGCTCTAAGCTTCCTACCTTTCTTTTTCATCCAATCAACACTGCTTGAGGAACATCTCTAGAAGACAGTGGCTTTTTTATTGCTTTCATGCAGCTGTGGGCAGGAGTGGTATTCACTTGCAGTATCTTCCCTACCGGTTCACAAATGTGAGTGCGCTTGCTTTGCTCGCATGCGCTACCTCCGTGCATGTGTTCAGCCTTCCGCACATGCACTTTTGGTGAAAAAAGGGCCTAAATGGGATGCCATAAAGCTGGGGCGGGTGGGCAGAGCCACCCGCGATTTCCGCTACTAGTTTGGGCAAACCGGTCCGAACTGGTAGAATACCATCTCTGATTGGGTAGCAAAACACTGGTACTGCTTTTACAAAGATAAAAATGTTGGCTTTGAGGGAAAAGTTTTGGAACACTTAGAGGCAGGTTGCTTAACCCTTTCCCCACAACCCTTTCTCTGCTCTACCTCATCCCCAAGGATCTCTCTAGGGAAGGGATGGGCAACTCTGGCCCCTTTAAAACTGTAAATTTCTGAGCTAGTCATGCTGGCTCTGGAATTCTGGGAGTTGAAATCCACAGATTGTAAAGGGTTGCCCACTTCTGCTCTAGAGTTCCAAATTTACTCTTTACCTGCTATTCCTATTTCTGGTAGATGTACTGGATTATAGTACCCATATTCCTTATGTATTTAACACAGTGGTAAAGAATTGTAGTCCAAGATACTTAAAAGGCACATGTGCCTATTTTGTCCTAGCATTTCTTACTCCGGTGGAGGGGAGAGGCTATAGATCAGAACCATTTGGGAAATGGAGAAGGAAGCAGGAAAAGTAGTAAGTTGCCCGTTTCATATTTTTTTAGCACTTAGAATTTTCTTCTATAAAAATGTTTAAGGATTCCAACACTTCTGATCTGTTATTGATATATTATATAACTCTCTGGGAAACTCTGAATCAACCATACACACAACTGTGCTGCACTGAAAGGAGACCTATTTAATTTAGTCAAAAACAAATTCCAACCCACTGTTGCTAATGAACTGAGTCACAATTAGTTGTCGATAATTACCAAAACAACCATTCTAGGTGGATGACAACCCTGAAGTTCCATACAGTACTGCATTTCCTTTAAAGCCCAACTAAAGTTTGGAAGTTTTGGAGAATCAGGCTGAGCTACATGAAACCTATTTTAGGGTGTTTTACACACTTGTCTCAAAATAGCAATTTTCAACACATTTCTGAAGCAGCTTTTGACAGCATCATCCTAATAAGCAGAGGGTCTCCTACTCCCCCCCCTCATATGCTGCAACCCATCATCACTTTCTGCCAATCCCTGGATTGGCACATGGAAGAGTCAGTCATGGATGGCCATATAAATCACTTAAATAAAATAATGCAAAAAAGTTAATCCCAGATTGCATAGCTCCTTTCTGAGTGCTAACCTCTTTCAGATGCATTGCCTCCTGGATCTTGCTGCTTCTGTCTTCTTTCTGTGTTTAAGAGCCTGATATTCTGCAATAAGGCTGAAAGCAACAAGTAAAAAATATATCTTGGCAAATATTTGCAGTACACTGGTGTTGATTACTGACAATTTTTTTTGAAAACCTTAACAAAATACATACTGTGAAATCTCTCTTGAAATCAATATTGTTGTTAATGTTCAAAGCTGTAATTGTGTGGATATTGCACAAATACTACAGACTAAGCAAAGCAACAAAACTGTTTTCCTTCTTCAGTGATTTTGACGCTATTCCCGCAACTTTCCGGAACAGCAGCCTTTGTGATGTAAATGAACCAACAGGTGTTTAACATTTGTGCTATGCTTTGACCAAATCAAGACAGACAACACAACCTTGTGTGTTTGTTCAGTGAGGTCCAGATGGCTGTCAATTGCAATCTGAACTCAGTGGGTACTGTCTCTGCATAAACATCCTGACATTCACACGTACATGTGGAAACATTGTGGTGACTCCTAAGGGAAATACACCTTTGCAGGCCTCTTTGTTTGGAGCCAAAGTCACATATGCTCTCCATAATGAGAATGCAAACGTTTTACTTGCTTTTTTTTTTTTNTGTCCCAGCTTCTGCCAACCTAGCAGTTTGAAAGCATGTAAAAAAATGCAAGTAGAAAAATAGGAACCACCTTTGGTGGGAAGGTAACAGCGTTCCGTGCTCATTCAGCACTTAGTCATGCTGGCCCCATGACCACGGAGACATCTTTGGACAGTGCTGGCTATTCAGTTTTGAAACAGAAATGAGCACCGCCCCCAGAGTCGGGAACAACTAGCACATATGTGCGAGGGGAACCTTTATCTTTACCTTATTCTTTTAAAATATGGCTAGCTATAAAAGAACACAGATATTCCTCGACTTATGGCCAATTGTTTAGCAACCATTCAAAGTTATGCCAGTTCAGAAAGACAATGGGGAGCTGGCAGGAAAGGTTGCAAGCTACCGCTTGCCAAAAGATTTTTCCTTCCTTTCATGGATGTGGGGAGGAGGAATCCTTTGCCAGACTGCAAAAATGAAGCCGTAAAATGAAATGGAAATCTTGCATTGGGCTGTAGAAATGAAGCAAAGATCCAAGCTCTGTTTCTCCAGCATAAAACCTTCGTCCTGCGCAGGATGGGGTGGGGAATTCCTTCATTGAGCTGGAGAAACAAAATAAGAATCCCAAAGCTCTGTTCCCACACTCCATTACAGGCGTTCCCTTCTGTTCAGAGTTGAGCTGCCTGCCCTCTTTTGGCAGGCACAGTGCTTTCACTTTGTTTACTTTAAAACTGGGAGAGCTGGAAATGCACTTGTTGAGCAAGGCAGTCACATAGGTGTCTTGCTGAATGACTTCGCTCAATGAGCAAGATGCCAGTGCTAATTATGGCCATAAGTCAAGAACTACCTGTGCCCCCCCAATAATGTTAAAGTATAATTAACCCTATCAAATCACTTATATTTTACATTGAGTCTTAGGATGATAGATACAATCTCTCCCAATATAGCAAAGGTATCTCAGTAGAAAGGACATATATTTCTAACCTTGAGGATTTGCTGCAGTCCAGAGCGCATTAATTCACTGCGGATGTGCACTCTAAAGTCAAGCTCATCTGATGGGATGATTAGAGCATTGATCAACTGTAGACAAGCTACCTAAGAAAGTCAAAGAAAAAATATGTGTTGGATCAACCAATTTTTTTACTTCATTCACTATGAGCTAGCTAATTTGTCAGAACAACTATGAAAAACTGTCAGACAAAATGTTTTTTTCTACCAAATTTTATCACAGCAAAGCAGCCTAAAAGTGAAATTCAAGCATGCAGTACAAATAGTGTCAAGAAAAAAAAATTCAGGAAAGAATCAACACTGATAGTTGGAACTCAGATCTCATAGATTAAAACAACAAAAGAAACCAAATGAAAAGAACATGGTTCAATTAAACACCAGACAAAGATTTGAAGGCAACCCAGCTCATATTCTAAGTCTACTCCAGAACATAAGTCTTCTCTTTAAAAATAATCCATTAATATTTATTGGCAAAGGTGTCTCTTGTCCCTATTATAATTAAATATATGCAGGAAATCGAGTAACCTTGGAATAATATACCTAGAGCAATTTGAAAAGACTTCTCCCTCCTTTTCTATCCCCAAACCAGAATGTAGAATTTTAGATTCACAACGCTTACAAAATGCTTTAAAATTAATAGATAGCTTTCTAAGGTTTGTTAAGCTAATCAAACCATCTTCCTATTATCTTATACTCATTCTAAACAAATTGTCTGATTGCTACTTTGGGCTGGTTCTGAAGATACACAAAAAGAATTTCAGGATAAAGATCCATTGAGAAATCAAGTGTACTTCAGCAATGGTGAAATGAAAGAGAAAACAACAGGCACCAGAGTATTATGAAAGATAAGGCAGATAGACTGTTACATTCTTTTTCCAGGTTCCTATTACCTTTAATGCCACTGATGTTCCACTTTTCAGGCCATCCACAATGGGTTTAAATCGTTCTACTTCATTCATTTCTGCGCGTTCAGTCAACGCTCCCAAAACTTGCTCATGCCTAACAAAAAATAAAGGAAACACAAAAAATGGAATGAAAAAAGGAGGGGAATAAAAAGCAGTTTTTATCATTGTTATATACCAAGTCTGCATTTTTTNAGCCCCTCAAATACTAGAAGATTGCTATCATATCACTCCCCATTCTTCTCTGTTAGACCAGACATACCTAGTTGCCACAACCGTTCATTGTATGGTTTAGCCTCCAGACCCCTTATCATCTTTGTCTTATATGCTGCTGAGTTATTGGATGAGCGAGTCAAATATTTTGAAATAAAAGGATATTCCATTTCTATTCGAATGTCTTCCAAGCGGCTTCTGAGTTCTGCAGAATCTTCTTCACCATATTCTTCAAATACCTGCAGCTGTAGTTTCATCTCCTCATTGTCTTGAGCATGCAGTTCCTGTAAAGGAGACTGTCACTTCAGAGAATATCCACTAGACATTATGACTCTTTTTTATTCCAAGAAAACTTCAGATTATTTGGTGAAAGATTGTTTTGTTTTCTCTCTTCCCTTTCCTTTCTCCCCTCCCTGCTCCCCCAATAAGAGAACTAATTTGTTGAAATTACTTGAGAGAGAGACAAGCTGATTAACACAAAACTGATGACAATGTCCCTGTCAGGACATAAGATCCAGGACACAAGAGAAGCTATTTATTATTTATATATAAACAATTCACATAATTGAACACAAATTGCTTAAGGGTACAAATGATACAAGGTAGTTCTCAACCTATGACTTCAATTGGGACCAGAATTTCCATTTGTAAGCAAAAAAGTTGTTAGGTGAGTTGCACCTGATTTTACAATATTTTTACCATGTTCTTAAACAAATCACACAGCTTTTAAGCAATCTACTTTTTCCAATTGATTTTACTTGTTGGAAATCATCTGGAAAGGTCATAAATGGTATCACATTACCTCTGGATACTACAACCATTGTAAACACGTGCTAGTCATCAAGCACCCAAATTTTGGTCATGTAACTGTGGTGAAACTGCTATGGTCATAAGTGTGAGGACAATTTGTAAGCAACTTTTTTCAATTTTGTTGTAACATCAAACAATAACTGAATGATAGTATGTTGAGGACTAGCTGTATACAGATGCTATTTCACACATCTTAATTAATAAAAAAATATGTGAAGCTGAGGATACCAAGCACAGTCCTATCCTTTCTGTACAAGGGTAAGTATGTAAGGGCTTCTATGAAAAGGGCTAACAGCAGAGTTCTCATCTTCATTCAATAATCCATTACATTTCCAACCATTGAGACTTCTTCATTTGCATACCTACACATTCATTATTATTAGTTCTGTACCATTCTTCCTTTTGAGAACCCTAGGTAAATTAAGGCAATTATTCTTTTGAAGGCGGGGATGCGATTGCTCAGTGGCTAAGATGCTGAGCTTGTTGATCAGAAAGGTCGCCAGTTCAGCGGTTTGAAATGTAATGGATTATTGAATGAAGATGAGAACTCTGCTGTTAGCCCTTTTCATAGAAGCCCTTACATACTTACCCTTGTACAGAAAGGATAGGACTGTGCTTGGTATCCTCAGCTTCACATATTTTTTTATTAATTAAGATGTGTGAAATAGCATCTGTATACAGCTAGTCCTCAACATACTATCATTCAGTTATTA